CTGCGGGGGGCGGGAGGGGGGCGCTGTGAGTGCATCTAGCCCTGCAGCGCCCCGCGTCCCACCACCGTACCGTTTCCCTTAACTCCTGGGCGCCAGCACCGATGACACCATCGGGGACCTGAAGAAGCTGATCGCCGCCCAGACGGGGACCCGTTGGAACAAGATCGTGCTGAAGAAGTGGTGAGCGCCGCGGCCGAGCGGGGGTTAGGGGGCCAGGCCGGGGTCCGGACCGGGGCGCGCTTGCCTCCAGGGTGAAGACCGCCCGCCTTGGGTGTCTGTCTGAAAGGTGTCTGTCCCGCAGGTACACGATCTTTAAGGACCACGTTTCTCTGGGCGACTGTATCCTTTGTGTGGTTTCTGGAGGACGGGGCTCCACGCCGCGTCCTGGTCCTTGGTTCAACCCGGGGTCTGTCGGAGGCTGTGCACTAAGGTGTCTCCCCGAGTCTGTAGCACGCGGCGAGCATTTGGAACAGTGGTTCTCAACCTTGGCTGCACATTAGAATCACCTGGGAATCTTTTTTAAATCCTGATTTCTGGGCCTCATCCTCCGGAAATTCTGTTTCTTTGTTATGGGGTGGGGCCACAACATTACTAACAAAGAAACAGAATTTCCGGAGGATGAGGCCCAGAAATCAGGATTTTAAAAAGATTCCCAGATGATTCTAATGTGCAGCCAAGGTTGAGAACCACTGATTTGGAGAATGGGAGTCGTGTCATTGTTTTGCTGGGCGAGGAAGGTGGTTGGTTGGTCAAATATTCTGAGGCTTAGAAGACACTTTGAAGGAGGTCGGGGTGGAGTGAGACTCCGCCATGCCTGCGGTGCAAAAGGAGCATGAAATGTCATAGTTTGTGTTCTTTCCAAATCAAAGTGACCCGGTCCAGAATGGCCTCCTTGGCTCCGGGCCGAGCGAGCAGGCCACCCTGGCCCAGCCGTGAGAGGTGAAAGGGCGGGAGCCGAATCCACAATGAAGGATCCTTAACACCTTCCCTCCAGCTGAAATCCATGATGGGATGAACCTGGAGCTTTATTACCAATAAAGCGGAACTCCTTCCTCGTGCCCGATCCCCCCGCCCCTCTCCTCCCGCTCTCAGCCCCAGCCCTGGTATGGATGCTTGTTTTTAAAAAGTCATGTTAATAAAAACGTAGAACAGCTTCACTGTCGTCATGTTTGACTGAGGCCTGTCTCATGAGGGAAGGTTGGTATCTGGTGGTCACTGTACTCTCAGTGCCCAGCTGCCCATTCAGAGTTCAAGATTGACTGGGTCGGTGAGGGAAGAGCAAGCCAGGAGACTGGGAGCCGGTGTGGGTTTCTGGAGGGCAAGAGGTCTGAGATGATTGTCACCCTAAGAGGCCCAGGGCCCTCTGGGTAGGGACAGTGATGTAGTTAGGAATACAGGTTCTGGATTGAGACAGATGATGAATGGAATCCCAGCTCTTATGTCAACAATGACCCTGGGCAAGTTCCTTGACCTCCCTAAGCCTGCATTTCCTTTTCCAAACTGGAACTGATAGTTCATGGTCGTGTTGCAAAGTGTAGCTGAGAGAAAATGAGGTTAAGCATCTACAATTCTTGGCACTTATGAAATCCTAGTGGACAGAGCAAAACAGCATGGCATAGGCTGAATTTTGACTGATGATTAGTAGTGGGGTTTGGGGTCGTCAGCTTCCTTTGATCTTCAGTTTCCTCTTCTAAAATGGGGTACCATGATGACACCCACATCTCAATGAGAAATGCAGTTAGAGCAGCAGGATGTGTGTTCCATAGTGTTACCAGCTGTCTCCAGTCTTCTCCCAGGTGTGAGTAGTCAGGACACCAAGCACCCCACCTCTGTTCCCTTAGCCACAGATCCTGGGGCCGACCTTGTCCCTGTCCTTACCAGAGCCATATTCTGGGACCCTTCTCAAGAGCTTCACCCAGAACCTTGCTCTGTTCTTTCTCTCCTCTCTTGTATTGACCTGTCTTATCTCCTCAATAGCTCAACACAGTCAGCTCTAGCCCACTGCTCCTCCCCTCCTCTCCTCCTTCCCCAAGCTCCTGCCAGCCTCTGCCTTCCCTTCACCTCCAAGCTTCTGGGGAGATGACCTGCCAGCTGCTTGGGAGGCTGCTGGCCTGGAGTCCGTTCAGAATGGTTTCTCTTTGGTCTCTCTACCTGCCTCTTGGCTTCCCTTCTATCCCTAAGACATGTCTGTTTCCCACTACCCTTAGAACTCAGTATCCCCCATTTACCTATTTTTTAAAAATTTTATTTTTAACTACAGGACAGCCTTTTATTAACCAACTAGAGCAGTGGTTCTCCTAATGCCACAACCCTTTAATACAGTTCCTCATGTTGTGGTGACCCCCAACCATAAAATTATTTTTGTTGCTACTTCATAACTGTAATTTTGCTACTGTTATGAATCGTAATGTAAATATCTGATATGCAGGATGTATTTTCATTGTTACAGATTGAACATAATTAAAGCATAGTGATTAATCACAAAAACAATATGTAATTATATATGTTTTCCGATGGTCTTAGGCGACCCCTGTGAAAGGGTCATTCGACCCCCCAAGGGGTCGCGACCCACAGGTTGAGAACCGCTGAACTAAAGGAATCATGCACAAAATTCATGCAAGAGGAGGCCTTCCTTCCCCCAGCTGCAGGCACCAGCTCCCCTCCAGCACCAGGCTTCCCTCGCAGAGGGAGGCCCCGCCCACCAGCCACTGCCCGCCTGTCAGTGGCCTGGGCCTCCCGGGCCCCCAACCAATCACATGGCATGGCACCCGCCTTGGCTAGTCTGGTGCCAGTGGTTGTCATAGCATGGTCCCGGATGGTCATTCCACTGTTTGGCCATTTGGCCGATTTGCATATTACGCTTTTATTATATAGCATAGATATCACCCCAAAAAATTTAATTAAAAATATATAAAAAGGAATTAAATATAAGACCTGAAGTAAAGCAAAATAAATAAACTACATGACAGCCTTGACAAGGTGATTCCTTATCATTTCAAATCGGCATAGAAAATACATGCGAAAAGTAAAACCCTTTTCCTCACCTTTCTCTCCTGAGGTCAGCACATTTCTATAAACTTCAGTTTTACTTTTAAAAGATAACTATGCTAATATATGCTTGTAAAAAAAAAATCCAGATGTTTTGTCAAACATTGTTTCAGCCCTAGCTGGTAGCCAAGTGGTTAGAGCGTTGGCTTGAGGACTAAAGGGTCCCAGGTTGGATTTGGTCAAGGGCATCTGCCTCGTTGCAGGCTCCATCCCCGGCCCAGTCAGGGCAAGTGTGGGAGGCAACCAGTCAATCTCTGTCTCTCACATCGATGTTTCTCTCTCTGTCTCTTCCTTCTCCCTTCAACTCTCTATAAAAATCAATGGAAAAAATACTCAGGTGAGGAGTAACAACAACAAAAATTGTTTCATATTAACATTCCCCCCTCCCACCACTGGCAGTTATTAACTTATTTGAGTGAATCCAGACATTTTCTGAAATACAACCTATAGTTTTTATAAAATAGGGATAATTATATATTCTATAATATTCACATACTATGCATCAGTTTGTTTTTTATGCTTTTGATATTCTTCCATGTAAATTATATGTCTTATTCTTTCTTATTCTTTTTCATTGGTATTTTTATTGATTTTTTTTTTAATAAAAGGGTATGGAGTGATTCTTGTGATGATGGAACTGTGGTGGTGGATGCAGGACTCTCTTTGTCAGAAACGATGTAGGAAGAAATGGAATGCAGGCCATCTAATGAATCTGCTTGTATTACAAATGAATCATATAACCACACTGAAGAAGGTGGGAAAGATACTTTATTGGAGTAAATCTGAATGATCCTACTCCTTTGGAACAAACTTAGTGCTTACTGGTTCCCAATTGTATTTAGCTTGTGGTTGGAATTTGAAAAAATGAAAACCTAAATAAAATAGGTGAAGTTCCCTGACTATTCAGGTGAATATACACACACAAAAGAAGGTGGGAAAGACAGCTGACCTAAGTTTGGAAAAAGTATATGCTAGGATACGAGAAGGCTAAAGACAAAAAAAAGTGTAGAAAAACACTGTACTCTAGTTGGTAAATATGTTCCTCACAGGGATACGATTTAACAATTCTGAAACTTTTATACGTACATATGTATCCACACAGAGTTGAACAAATGGGTAAATATATTGTAGGTAGTGAGAGCCAGGTTTCTTACTGTTAGAGAAAGAAGTTACAAATAACCCAGCCATTGTGGTTCAGTGGTTGAGTGTCCACCTATGAACAAGGAGGTCATGGTTCGATTCCCAGTCAAGGGATATGCTTGGGTTGCAGACTATATCCCCAGTGTGGGGCGTGCAGGAGACAGCCAATCGATGACTCTCTCATCATTGATGTTTTTATCTCTCCCTCGTCCTTCCTCTCTGATATCAATAAAAATATGTTGTTTTTAAAGATACATATAAAATGAGGCAGGAAGGGTGGAAGGGTGTTGTTAGAATGAACCTGTGGGACTGGATTAGAGTTAGAGGCATCAGTGTGGACTCATGGTTTTTATTTACTATGTATATAGACATGCAGATATGTGTGCATACATATATTTTCTTGCTTTTTCCACTTAGAGCAGCGGTTCTCAACCTGTGGGTCGCGACCCCTTTGGCGGTCGAACGACCCTTTCACAGGGGTCGCCTAAGACCATCCTGCATATCAGATATTTACATTACGATTCATAACAGCAGCAACATTACAGTTATGAAGTAGCAATGAAAATAATTTTATGGTTGGGTCACAACATGAGGAACTGTATTTAAAGGGCCAGAAGGTTGAGAACCACTGACTCAGAGGGACCAGAAGCAGTGACACCCCAGGTGCAATGAGCATGTCCAGCACCCAGATCTTTGTTTCTAAATAACATTCTCCAATGAAAGGAATTAGAGCTTCTTGGAGATTGGTTCTAGAGCTAGGGCAGGGAAAATACAAGCTGGGCATGGAGCATCTAGTGGTGTCAGGAGGTAAGAAGTGCCAAAATAAAAAGGATGGAAGCATGTTGAAAGGGCACAACTCAAAGTATCCCTCAAAAGTATTATTACAATAGTTAAGTTCAGAAATTGCCTTAACCAAGTGATTAAAGTTAATATTGCAAGTGTGGTAGGCAGCCTCTAAAATGGCCCCTAATGATCCCCTCGTCTTTGTGTATTCACATCCTTGTGTAGTCCCTTCCTCTTGAGTACAGGCTAGACCTAGCTTCTAACAAATAGAGTATGGCAAAAGTGGTGGAATATCACTTCTGAGATGAGGTTGCAAAGAAACTGGCTTCTGCCTTGCTTACTCACTTGTTCACTGATGAAAGCCAGCTGCTATGTTGTGAGCTGCCTTATGGAGAGGCCCCCAACAAAGAACTGCAGTCCTCAGACAGACATCCTATTAGTACTTGAATCCTGCGAGCAGCCACTTGAGAGAGCTTGGAAGTAGATCCTGCCCCAGTCAAGCCTTCACATTAGACCACAGCCACCCCTGCTGACACCAGCTAAACTGTGCTTGGATTCCTGACCCATAGAACCTGTGAGAAAATAATTGTTAATCCACTAAGTTGTGAGGTAAGTGTTATTGCAACAATAGATACCTTAATACAACCAGGAATACATTGCATACCAGGTATGATGCACTGAGGTTATATCGTCTCTGTGGTATCCTTCCCAAAAATGTATAACCTCAATCTATTCATGAGAAAATATCCAACAAACCCTATCATGATAAAACATCAGAATGGGCATTTTGCTATTCAAAAGTACCAGGATCATGCAATACAAGGAAGACCTAAAAATTGTCACATGTTGGAAGAGACTAAGGAGATGTGACTATGTGGATTCAAGTCTAGTCTAAAAGTATTGCACTGCCCTAGCTGGTTTGGCTCAGTGGATAGAGCGTCAACCTGTGGACTGAAGGATACTGGGTTCGATTCCAGTCAAAGGCACAAGCCTGGGTTGCAGGCTCGATCCCCAGGGTGGGACGTGCTGGAGGAAGCCTATCAATGATTCTCTCTCATCATTAATGTTTCTATCTTTCTCTGTCTCCCTTCCTCTCTGAAATCAATAAAAAAAAATTTTTTTAAAGAGTATTGTACCAATGTTGATTTTTTAAAATGTATCTTTATTATTGAGAGTATTACAG